GGAAAGGTTCTAAAATGTTAATAGTAACTACATTTCGGTAGTAAAATCATGGGTGATCCATGTTTTTACTTTCATATTGTTCATCACTTTATGAATTTTTTAAAATGAGGCTGTTAAATAACTTATGTAATAACAAAATATAAATTATTTCTTTAAAAAGTGTACAAATATGTGCCTGAGACATTTTTAAGAAAAGATGCAAAAACAAAAATTAATTTGTCTTTCTTTCCTTTATTTTTGTTTTATATAAAAATAATCTGCCCACAGAGACCTACACGTTTTAAGTTATTTAGCCTGTCAAGCAAATTAGACCATCTATCAGGAGAGATTTTAAGAAAAAAATAATGTTCATAAAATCTGAGCTTGTAAACTACATCTAAAACATAAGTACACTCTCACTTAGGAATACAATTTGTTAAGTAGTTGAGAACTTGAAACACATCTTTTTTTTTTTTTTTTTTTTTTTTTTTTTTTTTTTGGTAGAAACACAGTGATAAGGCATAAAGGTCAGTACACAAAATCCACTTAATCCTAATGTACATGAAGCACAGAACATACTGAAACCCAATCACCATGTAGGTCATACTTTCTATGGGGAAAATGATTTTAGAATTGTGTATTAAAAGCCAGAAATCCATCTCTTCTAGCTACAATAGGATCACAATTATGCCTGCCATTCTAAAGTGTACAGTAGGAGGAAGAACTCTCTCATCCCTGATTTTAGTGGCAGCTCCTGCAGCTAGTGGTCTTCATACATAGCATGGAGGATTGGCAGAGGTCTTTAAACCTTCATAAAGACGAGGACATCTTACTAATATCATCTCACCCGAGACTCCCTTGGTCCCTGTTCATTCCAAGATCACCCTTTTTCTTTTATCCCACCAGCCTCTGGGGCTGGCCCTTTCATTATCGCCATCTGGGGTTTACAACCAGGCTGTCTCTTTCCCCTTGTCTGTATAGAACAGAACAGGGCATGTCAGTTTGTCTCCACCTTCCTGATACAAAAAACAAGTCTACAGCCCTTCTGAAGTTTGTTTTTATCTTTTTAATGGAGGAAAGGGGAAATAAGGATTAGAAATGAACCCCTTTCCATTTCTCTCCCTACTCTATTTTTACCTGAACCTAGTAGGAAAAAACAATCACATTATGTAGTGTTGGGTCTTTGGATATACAGATAATAATAATAAAGATTCACTCGCTTCTTAAAAAAGAAAAACAAAAGAAAACTTCAGATGATCCTTAGCATTCTATACATTAACCTACTGTAGCCTATAAAAGAGAGAAGACAGCAGGATATGTGATGGAAAAAAAAAACAGTTTCTGGGAAATGGGGTAACTGATGTCAAGGGAGAGAAATGTGGCTGATGATGCTGTCAAAGTACACGACCATCCCTGGAGATGTGCCCGCAAGTTACGATGTTTCCTCATGTCTAGATTTCTACTTCCCAGATCACAGGTGATCAGGTAAAATTGGGAAGAAAGGGGGAAAGTGGCCCTAAAGAATCTGCAGAAGGACAGGAAGATTAGCAGAAGCTTTTGAGGAACAAAGCGTTCCTGTGGCCACTCAGACTGAATGTGGGGTGGTCGCTCCCTGGTGGCCCTTTGTATGTGAGGGTCAGACTGGAGTTATACAGAAAACACTCCATGTGCCTTTACATATGGCTTCTACTAAGAACCCCTAATTCCTAATTCACAGAGAACTATCACTGTCATTCCATTCCATGATCTGAGTATTCTGCAGACAGAAAAGAAAGGTAATCCTTAGAATTCACACACAGAAAATTACTTTAAATCACTAAATTGGTCCTAAATAGAAAATGAAAGAAAAGTGCAAGGTAAAATGTGCATAAACATGTCTTTACCTCTGGTCTTACTCTTCTTTGACTTCTTTCCCATGAAGAAAGGGGCAATGGCCTGAGAGAAGATATCTAATTGGAAGTGGACGATGGAGTGGCCTGGCCATCACCAAGAGACTAAAGCTGAGCTGCAGGAAGTGGTCTGGGACCCTACAAATGCATTCTCATGTCACCCATGCACTAGGGAAACATATACACACACTTCCCAGTAATGGATTTTCACAATGAACTAGTTTGCCACCTTTTCAACTCCTTTTCTGAACCCCTTTCCTTGCATTGTGTCTTGACCCTAAACACTTACAGCCCTCAAGGACCCTCTTGGCCCACCATGCCTACTCTCTCTAAAACTTTCCTCCCTCTTCTTTTTCCTGATTCAAGGCTTCTCTAACACAAAGGACAGTGTTAGATATTATTCTTAACAGCTGATTATAGCAATTAACGTCAAGGAGTGAGTAAGGCTTAATGGAGGGATCATTTCTATTTTAAAAGAAATTTCAGATGGAAGGAGAAGGTTGCTATGCATATTTGAACTGGGCCTTCAGGGATTCAAGGCAACTCCAGTTCACAAGAGTACCTAATTAATAGTTTCCCTAATTTCACCTTCAGGAGAAGGGAAAGCCCTTGTTGTGCATCTGCCTCTTCAGTCACTGCAAGAACTTAAGATCCCTCCAAAGAAAAATAAAAGGAGGAGGGAAGAAAATGCAAGAGAAAAACCTTTGTTCTTCTTTGTCCTTACAATACAATGGAGTGGGTGTGGCCACTCCCCATTGCAGCTTGGAGAGGTTAAGCCTTATGATTAGTCATCTATGACTAAGATATTTATATAAATTCATAAGGTGTATATATATGACTAAGATATATATATCCATAAGATGTATCTATGCATGTGTGCATATGTATAGACATATATATATAGACATGTATATACATACACCTTATGGATAGGCACCAAATATATGTGCAATGTATCAAGTCATGCAATTGATTTCACTTTTATCAAGTGAATACTGATACTTATAAAATGGAGTGAATATCATTTGTTAAATTGCCTTTGAAACTACCTGTTAAATTCATTTTGTTTGGCAGCATCATTTTTATAAAAAAACACAATGCCTGAATTGCCTATCTAGTCAGCTATTTACAATAAGGTTCCCTACTCATAAATGAAAATGAGATCATTGTTTCAGTGAAAAAAGAACAACCTCAAAGCCTCTTATCCTCACTTAAGCTCAACCTTACCTTCAGCATATTAATTTGCAGAACTATGTTCTCCTCCATATTCTATGAAATCAGGGCTACTGATTTCTTCAGGAGACATAAAAAATTTGGAGAGCTAAGCTTCTGCCAGTTGGCAAAAACAGCTTTCAATCAGCTACCTGAATTAGTTTGGGAGGCTGGAGGCATCACTATTTCCAAAAGCCATAGTGCTAGTCAACAGGAAGATTATAGGCATTTTGAATCAAGTTCTCAGACTGTGGTCTTCAGTTTTTCTCAAAAGCTGCTTATAAAAGAAGGACTGTGTGAAACTTTGATATTTACATCAAGTCACAACTAAGGGGCAGGTTTGCAAAATCAATTGTGCAGTTTTTATCCTCACTGCACATTTACCACATATGTCCTTTATTACACAGTGGAAAACCATTAAATGCACAGTAGTTTTGCCAAGTGGCATTATGCATTTAACAGCTTTATTCATTTAACAGCTCCAACTCTCATTATATTTTGCCATGTGGTACATGGGATTTTATGCATTTAACAGTTTAAGAGGCTCTATGGTATTTTCTTTTCATGTACTTCATACTATGGTTGGACATCATGTCTTAGCAAACTGTATTTCACTGATTTCATTGATGAGAGAAAGTCAGAGTAATCTGGAAAAATTACCACACTGAAATTGAAAAGGGAAACAAACATTCTAATCCCTTTCCAAGTTCCTTGACGTTCTACTCCTAACCTTTTATCAACATCTGAAAATAACCTACATCAGGTTAAAACTGCAGGTAAAAAAGGCTAACCTTGTACTCTATAATTAATCCAAGTATAACATTTAACTATAGTTTGAATTTTTTTCAGTTTTAAAAACTTAATTTTTATTGAAAACCTTCTTGCTTAATAGAAATACAATAGTCACTTCCTTTCTTTATAGCACACAACAGATTTTTTAGGGAGATGATCAACCATTTTACTATTTACATATGTAGGGATGAGAACATTTGTCATATAAGGACACAGAGGAAATCAAGCTCAGAATCAAAGGACTCTCAAAATCATGCTTCCATTAACTTTTGCTTCCTCCACTCTGCATTAGGTGTTCACCCTAGGTATAAATAAATAAGCATGTACCTCAAACTAACCTAGGATTCTAGGTTTGGGCAGATAGTACCTTTAAATCAAGAGCTGAAGCAGATAGTAGATCCCATCAACTGTTGCTGCTTTCAGAAATAAAAAACCTAAGCATCTGTCTGCTCTTTTCCCCAGAGCATTACATTCTCCACAAACCCAGCACTCTGAAAAATTTTACTGGATAAGCTTCTATGTTTTTCTGTTAAAAGATTTTAGCACTTACTCTGCACTCCCCCATGTGTGTTTTCTCCTGGAAAAACAACTGTATTCTGTACATAAAAGAAACACCTGACATGAAAAGGTGTCTCTGGGGCTGGGGAAAAGTGGTTATTATAAGAGTCAGCCATTCCCCTGCTGGGAACAGGAGAGGTGATGAGACTTGGCTAAAACTTGGTCTCAGAAAGGTGCTGTCATATACATTGTAAGTTTTGTTCAAATACATATTTTTATATGTTTAATATATTGATATATGTATCAAATATATATATATATATATATATATATATATATAGAAAAGGAGAGAAAAAAGGGTACACTGCAGTGTTTAGAATAAGGAGAGAAATTATTCTAGGCTATATTTTTTTTAATCTTTAAAAGAAAAAAGTTGGGATTTTGGCCTCATCTCTATTTTGAACTCCAACGGGAATAAAAGCAAACTGGAGAGCAAAAGGCAGAACATGACAAGTTCCTTGGGGATTATTATTGTTATTATTATTATGGGAACAGATGTATTTTTATTGGTGGGAGGAGGAGAAGGGTCTAATTCCAGCCCTCAATTTTGCTCTTTTAAAAACCACTCACCTGACTTTTATTTGCAGCCACTTTGGCAAACAGGGCTTGAGACACCTTGGCCCTTTTCATCTCCTGTTGGATCTCGTCATAAATGGCAGCTGTGATGTTGACGTTGGCGCCGTCCACCTTAATAGGGAGGTCTGTTGTCGGTGTCGAGGTTTTGGCCTACCAAGAGACCATGAAAATAATAATTTAAAAAGTGTTGCATTCAGCCCAGCCATCTGTGCAGAAATTATCAAAGGATTTCAGTCAGCTGATGCCAAACTGCATTAGCTACAGAGGGACACTTCCTGTCCATTATTCTAATCAGGTTAATTGTGATTGGAAATAATTGCAGTGCATTCCTATAGGACATGCAGAATCCTGTCAACCCTATTTTCTCACAGTAGCCCAAATGATGGTTCACAGGTAGGATGACTCTCCTAGACACCAAACTATAAGCAATCATCTAGCTACAAAACAAACATGCAGAACACACACGCAGCTACCTTTTTCTTTCTAAAAATGGCAAACCTTGGAAGAAGAGCCAATTCTTCCAGAAGAAATGAGTAAATGGGTAGAGGTCTCTAAATAATACATTATTACTCAATTTAATGCACTCCGGAGTCTCTCTCATTCTTTATTAAAGCTTTATGTATGTCATTCGAGTATGTATGGTTTCCCATCATTATCTTCATTATGCTACACAGACAGTCACCTAATTTCACCTAGGAAATCAGTGGAAATGAAACAAAATTTCATTTCATAAAACTAGGCTTCAGAATGCCTTTGATGTGCCGTTTTCATTTTCTTAAACTCATATTGTGGTTTTATGTATTCTGCCGTGCTCATTTTAATTGAATGATTTCCCATCAGCTTCAGAGACAAATGAAGGGCAATATAGAAAGTGTCTGTACTTCTTGGGGTTAGGATAATCCTAAAATGTTTAAGTCTACTTAATCCAAAAGATGGTGACAACATTTACTTGGTGTGAGCCCTGGAACGCTTTGCTGGTGTCTAACAAGAGAGGGCTGAGACATCTTCTTAGAACCACTGCAGCAAGACTTTAGGAAAAGACCTCATTGATCCTTGTGCACTACCAGCTGAAGTGGCCAAACCTGGGTTTTTTTTCTTTGTCCTCATTCACCCTAGAATCCCAGACCAACAGAGTTATTCCCAAATCACAAGTTTCCCTGTGCAGATGCCCTGAGCTATTCTCTACTGGATCCAGCAGGAGGAAGGTCCAGAGAAAGGTGTAACAGGCAGTTTGGACCCTGTGATCAATGGCGTCTGGAGGCAGAACTTAAGGACCTACATTTCCATAAAGGCTTTGCTTCCTAAGAGTGCTCAGTGACTTCTGCCATTTTCCTTTTACCTCCTTCTCTCATAATATTTTCTAATTATCGCAAAGCAAGAATCAGTATAACGTATGGTGCGCTTTTAAGGGCCAGGTACTCCAGAAAGTATTTAACTTTTGCTATCACATTTAATTCATTTAAGATTCCAATGAAATAGACATCATTATTTTCATTTTACAGAGGAAGAAACTGAAATAAAAGAAGATCTTAATCTAGGACGCCCAGCAGCCCATGAAGGAACCATGATCTAACACAGTCTTGCAGGCTTGAAAGCATGGGCTCAGGACACTGGACGACATACTGCCTCTAAAACCTCCAATGTATGCCAGGTGCTGCTACAAGAATTCCCTTGCTAGGCTGGGACTTTCCCATTAAAATTCAATTATCTGTAATTTTTTAAAAGAAACTCTTTTTTTCTGCTCAAAATTTCTAGTTAACCCACAGGGCTTTCCCTGTTAACAGAAGCTTTAGCATAACATGTCTGTCTTTCTCAGTTCAGTTTTCATAATTTGCTTCACTGAGGATCTCATCCTGCCTGACAGGTCAAATCTTCTCTAGAACCATGAGGGCTAAGATGAAACCCCTCAAGGAACTACAAAATATGGTTGAGAGCCCAGCTTTTGGAATCAGAGAAACTACAGTTCAAATCCTACCTTTTCCACTCAGCCATGTGACGTTACACAAGTTACTGAATCCATCTAAACCTCAGTTCCCTCATCTGTAAAATGGGCACAATACCACAAAATAGTGACAATTGAATTCATGCAAAACGTTCACAATACCTAATACACAGTAAGCATTTTAACAAATGATCATTCTAATCTTAGTATTGTTTTGTTATTATTAAGTACACCAAAGAATGCTGGCCAACTGAAGAAATAAAAAGAGGCTGGAGGTGTAACTTCAAATTTCTTCAATTTGTTTTCAGCTACTAACAAAGTACAGATGGGGTCTGGAAAATAATCTCCCTGTATCAATGTAAAGCTGCCTGTGTACACTAAATTGCTGACTCCAACTAAAAGGCTGAGTCAGTAAGTACTCCTCTAATACTTGTTCTCACAATGAAATCTGTACTGTACTATGATCTTTACTGTTGAGATATGTCTGTAAAAAATTTTAAGTCAGTAATCACAAAATATTTTTAAAAACTTTAATAAATTCTCCTTTCTCAATCTTTACCCGAGAGAAAAAGAAGACAATTCTAGAGAATGTACAAATGCAATGCCATGATTGCATTCTCAAAAACATGTTGAAATATTTATTTTCAAAAATCTCAAAACTGTAAAATTAAATAAGCAATTTCCCTGCTATACATATCCCTAAAGGGCACCTTTAACTATGAATTTTCTAGATGGGATTCTGCTCAAAGTAAGCAAAATACTGACCCTAACTGTGTGGTCTTATAAGTCGGTCTGGCACTGAAAGCTATCAGGTCTTTGAAAATGTGCCTACGATATATAATCTTGTTAGGAAAATAGTACAAAAGAGCTGAAAACAAACACATAGACCTGTGTTATTTTCTAACAAGCAGAAGTAACTTTCTAAGAAGAGCCGCCTTGACAAGTGGCCATAAAGTACGGTTGGACTCTTCTATAATGGTTTAACAGGCTTCGAAAGTGGTAAAAATATTGATGAATTTAGCAGAAGTAAATATTAGTGTACATTAACAACTTGCCCAACTTACTAACTCAATATGTATTCCCCAGATTTTTTTTAAATAAATAAAAATGCTTGGTTACACTCATCCAAAGTAAGCAGCCAAGAGACTTATTTTTGTTTTAAACAGTAACTAAACCTCATAATTCACTAAAGACTGAAGTGTAAGTGACACAATTTGGCAGTGCATGATAGAAAGTAATCTTCAATTAAAAGTTTATTGCAGAGTACAAAAATATAAAGAGTTAAAATGTGTGAAAAAATGGATATACTTGAAAAAGCTCAAATACTTCTACTAGAATACAATTCTGCTTCTATGTTTAATCAGTTCCTTAGAATTTATCAGAAAACACTCACAAAACCAAAGCTATAATATCTAATCAAAATAACCTTTGGTTTTTGAACCACTCATTTTTCAGATTTATATAAATGTATATCCATTAGGCCAGGCACAGTGGTTCACACCTGTAATCCCAGCACTTTGTAAGGCCAAGGTGAGTGGATTACTTGAGGTCAGGAGTTCGCGACCAGCATGGCCAACATACTGAAACCCCATCTTTATTAAAAATGCAAAAATTAGCCTGGTGTGGTGGCATGTGCCTGTAATCCCAGCTACTCAGGAGGCTGAGGCAGGAGAATCACTTGAACCCGAGAGGCAGAAGTTGCAGTGAGCCACGATAGCACCACTGCACTCCAGCCTGGGCAACAGAGCAAGACTCCTTCTTAAAAAGAAAAAAATGTATACCTATTAAACATTGGTTTTAAGAATTACCGCTCAGAACCTGTAACCATCCTAGCAACAGTGAATGGGCTGGCTTTATCGTAAGTCTATCAAGTAGTAAAAGTTTAGGGGAAATAGGGCACAGGCCAGAAATGAGGGGGCTTGGATGTGAACTGGAAATGATCCCTGACTGCTGAGAACTTGACCCTTGAGTTAGGAGCTTTGCGGCACACATTACTAGATGTATACACTTGCATGAGGTCTAAGAAAAGAATACTTTTCAAGTATGTGAAGAAGAAGAATGGAAATCACCAAATCCTGTAGGGAGATCATTCTAGGAAGGAAAATAATTAAGGCCTACCTTTCCACCATCATTTTCTAGAGGATCATCAAGTGACATTTCAGTCATTCTTACCTAGCTACTGCATATGCATGCTTCCACTACATGCTTCCTCCATTTTGTCTTTTTCAGACTACATAAAACAGAGCTTAAACTACCCTCTGCCCTCTGCCCCCTGCCCCCAGCCACCCTTCAGCCCATCCAGCCAAACCAAATAAACATACCATTTAAGGGAAAGCAACCTGCTTGCTATGCAAACTCAGCTTCAACACAAATGTCTAACTCCTTTTTCAGCAACTGAGCAACTATATATAAACATTCTAGAGCCTGCCCCTGTGCCCACTTCTGCCTACCCACCCCTCACCTACCATGTATGGAAAAATGGGACTTCCTAAAGGGATAGAAATATAGTATGAGATCATCTATGGTCAGAGGTTCATATCTTTTGATCAACATGTTCAGCGGATTAAAAAATCCTTGAATTCGCCTGGTGTGGTGGCTCATGCTTGTAACCCCAACACTTTGGGAGGCTGAAGTGGACAGATCACCTGAGGTCAGGGGTTCAAAAACAGCCTGGACAACATGGTAAAACCCTGTCTATACTAAAATAAAAAAAATTAGCTGGGTGTGGTGGTGGACCCCTGTAATTCCAGCTACTTGGGAGGCTGAGGCAGAAGAATTGCTTGAACCCGGGAAGCGGAGGTTGCAGTGAGCTGAGATCGCACCACTGCACTCCAGCCTGTGTAACAGAATAAGACTACTTCTCAGAAAAAAGAAAGGAGAGAAGAGAAGAGAGAAGAGAGAAGAGAGAAGAGAGAAGAGAGAAGAGAGAAAGAGGAGAGGAGAGGAGAGGAGAAAGAGAAAAGAAGAGAAGAGAAGAGAAGAGAAGAGAAGAGAAGAGAAGAGAAGAGAAGAGAAGAGAAGAGAAGAGAAGAGAAGAGAAGAGAAGAGAAATCCTTGAATTATGTCTCTTAGTGTTCGAGGGAAAACACAGCAAGTAGTGAAGGCAAGATGTTTCCAAGTCAAAGAGTGAAAAATCCGGAGAGCAAGTTTCTCACCTGAGGGGTTCTGGAGGAGCTGGGACTGCTGGAGGCCGAGGAGACCATGCTCACATTGGGATTCATGCTCCGCTCCCTCTCGTCCTGGTAGATGCGATCTCGCTCCACTTCTGGCAGATTTAGGAAATTCTGCATGGCCCTCAGGTTTACTAGAAGAGACTGAGAGGCTGTCCGAGGGTCTTCTTCCTTACGCAGAATCTCAGACAACAATCCCTGATTAGATGGGGGGAAAAACAGACCAAGTCACATTTGCAGGTATATGTGTGTGTGTTTCTGTCTTCTGCCCCTCTCTTCCTTTGTTTGGTTTAACCAGCTGGCTGTGATGTCAAAAACCTCACGCTAATTCCGTAGGGTTCTCTGGTATGAAGGGAATGTGCTTGCTTTCTGGGGGATATGCATTATTTTAGGACTGTTCTATTCTGACACTTTATCATCACTGTAATAATCATCGGTGTACAGACATGCCAGCTAGCAAGGTAGGCACTTGGGAAGAATTGTGAAACCGCAATTACCACCAGGTGCCTCCTACAAGTATTTCAGGAACTGTTAGAACTCTCTCTGCTTGAAACTGGGAACACTTGGCAGTCCTGCTTAGCTTTACAAATCTGCCAAGTTTGGTAAATTTAGTTTCGACATTTAAACAGCATGGGAGATTTACATCAATTTAAAAAAAAATTGGCTGAATTTCTCTATGACCGGCCACTGTTTTCAATATAGATATTTCTTATGGCAAAAAAAAAAAAAAAAAGGAAAAAGAAAAAAAGACACAAAGCAAATGGCTAAATTGCATTAATCCTCTGATAATTTCCCAATGTACACACACAATAGTTATCCTTACATATATATGGAGGGCACCCAAAGCTTTTATGAGATATCTTCATCGGGGAAGCCCTAATCTCACCAGCAAAGCTATGAAAATGAAGGCACCTCTGGTGAAGGGCTGAGCACAGCATAACAACATGGAATGCTATGATAGGCCCAGACACTTTCTGAATGTGTGACTCACCCAAAAGAAAAGCTTTACATAGGGAAGTAGTGTTTTCATGTGCTCTGATGACAGAGAATTCACAAAGAAAAGAAAAGTGTTGCCAAGTCTACAGAATAGTATGGACTCCAGAAAAGGGCTGGAGATCTAAGGTGGGACACTGTAGTATTGGGGGTAGGTGCAGATTCATTTCCATTCTGCACACTTGTTGGATTATCACACAGAGACATCACTTTATATTCCCAGCTAATACTGCTTCTCAGGGCAGTATAAGACAGGGTTTAGGATTATCCCCCTGGGAAGAGCTGAGATGTTAATCCCATATCTTAGAACAGATGGGGCAACTCAAATCATGAAAAGTCACTTCTTTAACTGTAGTCAAGTAGAACAGATGCCAAAGATGTTTCCACTCAGGTGAAAATTAATGCAAAGGAAACACTATCAGATTTCTAATATGTGGCTTAAATATGAAAAGGCAATGGATGTAAGAAGAATATGCTATCTCTGGTGGTCCAAAAATCTTCAGGGTAAGATAGGCAATGTTTTAAAATAAAGCAATTGCATTATAACATAGTGAAGCAAATGCCACTTATAGGCAGTGCATCACATAGCACTCCAAGGAAGCAGTCACCACTCAGAACATCACATAGTCAATTTTACTACAAGGAACATTTCAAGCACTATGTCATCTGTCAGTTTCACAATTTGGGTGTCATGTAACTTTGATTTAGAGAAATTCTAAGTAATAGCTGGTATAAATGCTAGAGATCAGTGTGTGGTGTGTGTGTGTCTGTGTCTGTGAGTGAGTGTATATGCATGCATGCCCAAAGAAGGAGACAAGGTAGGATGTGTATGTAAAAACAACCGACTGGTACATGATTCTTGAAAACATCCAGATTTCCTGTCATGCTTTTAGAAGAAACGAGTGAGACACTTATCTTCCAGAAAATGTGATATAATCTAGGTATTCACTCTGAAATTAAAAGTCAGTTCTGCCTAAAGTTACCCTACTTTCCGCTTGCACTAAGCAACCTGAAATATTCATAATGAATTTGTTTTGAAGATACAAATCTTCAAATGAATATGCGGAGAAGCAAGAGCAAAGTGGATTTCAATTTTTAATACCAGTAAAAACCACTAAGATTGATATTTTCTGAGTCTTGTTTAATGATAAATTCTGCATATAAAGGATGAGTTGGTCTTTTTCCTTCTCTCTCCCTCCTTCCTCTTTCTCTCTTTCATGATCATACATAAATTTGGGATTTCAATAAATTTCAAATGACTAAAACTTGAAGGAGTTTTAGGGTCAACATAGATAAATTGTTTTAGTTATTATCATTATACTCAAGAGATCTCAAAGGCAAAGTTTATAAACTTATTCTTCCCCTGTGAAATTATTTTCACAAGTTGTGGAGTATATTACAGCAAAGATTTTGGATACAAAATAGTAATACAACAAAAATACTATTCTAATGGACCATGACTCAAATTTATGTTTGTTCATTCTTAATAAAAAAAAAATTAAAAAACACAGAGTGTTTCAATTTGTTTCTTGTTTTTTTCATTTTAAAACTATATAGCTCCTTCTCCTACATTTTTTACATACTGGACAAACTTGCAGGGAAATTAATCCATTTCCAAAAAAAATTAAGATGAAGTATCCTTGAGAATGACTGATTATCCATTTCTGAGGTGAATACAATATTTATAGTTTTAAAGTCTGGTGGAATATACTGTTGCCTCTGTTTCACATGCTTAATTGAAGATAAAGCCTCAAACCAACAAGGTAGCCAGTGTCACCTCCATATCTTACCCCCAGAGAATCAGAACACTGTTCTAAATTATTTACTAAAACTCTCTTCTGTGTAGCTATGGTCCCAAAGCAGATTCTTTTCACCATAGACATTTTCAATAACAAGTGGCTCACTGGTGGGCAAAAGAAGAGTTCTAGTTGTTTTGTTGAGTGTTTTTCATTTGGGTTATTTATGTGCTTTTAACTATTTAGACTGGGATGTTTAAAAATGTATTCCAAATTCTGCAGCCTCATAAATGGAAAGTGAGTCTATTTCATTAGCTGAAAATCAACAGAGGAGAAAAAGATCAGAGGAAAACAGACAGCATAACTTTCATATACCACAAATCATCCCATCTAATTATCAAGATAAGTAAATGTTTATCATATTGAAACTGTCTTGAATAGAACATAAATTAATAATTTATCTCACATAAATATTTCTAAAGCCCTTGCCACTATGTCATCTGGCATTTTAATTATCAACCAGCCAAGCTGGAGGTGTCACTTGGACATTCCCATTATGTAGCCTGGGATATAGAAAATGTGGCACAGCACCTGGGCACTGAAAAAAAGATGTACTTTTATGAATAGAAAGGTCATGAATATTGAGAATGTGCAAATGGAGGGAAATTAATAAATTAACCAGGATATAGCTTATTAAACTTTCATATCAGTAATCATATTAAAATATATTGCAAGTATTGAGTAAAGTGATCATTAAGTATTTTCCTCATCATAGGCAACAGAAGCTTTCTCCAGGGACACATTAAAACAATTCCCTCCACAGTGTGAGCTGAGATTATGTAAGACCAGGAAGCATGCTGACTAAAAGGAGCAGAAGGAACATCTGCACAAGGTAGAGAGATACCCTCCAAAATAATTCTTGGGTTACAAGTCACTGGAAAAAGAAGGAAGTCAGGTAAAGAGAACCTCGAATTGGCCTTTTCTACAGCCTAATTAACATTTTGCAGGCTTCATATGATTTCCAGGACCACCAAAGAATACATGAGTTCAGCAAAATATTCATTAAAAGCAAAATAATTCAAAGTACGAAATGAGCAATAACTTACTATAATGTCATCTAGCTTGCTAACAATTTAGCCTGCTTGCTACATCTATACACACAGCAAAGAATGGGGCAAATTTTTTTTTAATGAAAAATTGATGCCCTTATTTTTTCTAGTATTTAAAAATAATATTTCTTTATAACAAATTAAATGACCTTACAGATTCTGAGTCTGTACCTTCTGTGCCGATGGGCTTTTGATTTCCATATTTCCTTAACATTTTAAATAGTTTGTCCCAAATTGTTAGTGTGTACGATACATGCTGATATTCAGAAAAGTCGGGGAAATGTTATCATGAATGGCTCTATAAAATTTACTTCCAAGTTTTTGCCCTAGCCTTTGACATCTTGTTTGGGACAGGTGAGAAATTATCTTTGATGAGCCTTTAACCCTGTAAGAGAGCAATAACAGAACCCACACCTGGGCTAGGTTTTAGGCATGCTGAGCCTGAGCTCCATAGAGAGTCCATGCCACTCCTGACAGCAACAGTTAAAGCCATTACTGACTAGATTTTAACAGATATCTGTTCTTCATGGCTCTCAGACCACAAGTAATTCTCTAGGATCAGGCTATATCTCTCATGGATGACCTCAGAAGCCTCTAAATCCAGTATCTCCCATTGATTTTCTAGGGAACACCCAAATTCAATATACCTAGTCTCAAAAAATAACAGATCAGTCTATTAATTCATTTGTTATTTATGACTGAATACAAAGTTCTGAGAGGGATGAAGAGATTTAATAAGAGACAGATTCTGCTTCCCAGGAGTTTACCCTACAATGGGAAGGAGAATGTATTATAGCGGCACAAGGTAAAAGATGCCATGCATCATCAATGTAAGCCAGAACTAGTGTCACTTTGGTTCAAAGGAGGGAGAAAGTATTGTCAACTGCAGGATCCAGGGGAAAAATTTTGGAAGAGGTAAGATTTAACTTAGCTGGAACTTTAAATATAGATAGTACATGGATATAGACTTACGATGAAAATTGGGCAGCCTGTGAAACTGGGCAGTATCAAAACATTTGAAGAAAGAGAAAGCACATGCCTACTCTGGAATACCAAGACAAACCTCGGTTTTCCTAAAAGCTGTAAAATAAAGTGCAAAAACTGATAAAGTGATAGAAGATATTTTGAAGCAAAAACAGTAAGTCCATATTAATATGATTCTGAACTACTGGAGTAGTTAACCAGCAAACCAGCAAACATTACCACCCAAAATGAAGTGATATTAGATAATCTGTTCAGCCTTTTTGTCACCTGCAACAAATTAGGTTTTCAATATGCAAAACATCTTCCTTCCAGAAAAACAAATGATCACGATTCCATTTAATTGTAATTTAATGAGGCATAATTTATTTTTTAAAGT